CGCCTGCGCCCCCTTTTCTACGTGCCCCGCCGCAAAGCCGGCCGCGGGGCAGAGCCCTGCATGGCGCCCGTCCCCCGTGTCCTCCCAGCTCTCTCAGTCTGTCCCCCGCCGCCGTCCCCTCCGCCGGGGATGCCCAGAGACGCGGAGCAGCTCCCCTCAGCCGCAAGCCCCGCAGCGCTGGGGGGGTATCGCGGAGCCCCCCGGGACACGCGTGCATGTGCGGGACCGCGGGCGGGCGGGGCCGCGCGGGACGAAGCGGGGGCCGTCCCGGAAACCCCCTCTCCGTCCCGGGACCCCCGAGGGRGGACACGGGGACCCCCCGCTCCGGGGCAACCACACGGCCCCCCCACGCGTCGTGCCCGGAGGATCCCCAGTGCCCACTCCGTGCCCCCTCCCCGGTCCCCGCTTCCCCCCTCGCAGCTGCATGCCTGCAGGGCCGGCTCTGCCCGCGGCTGCCGCCGCCGCCCCGCGCCCCGCGCCCCGCCGCTGTATCTCTGGCAAATAAAGACCCCGCTGAGGACAAACTGAGACAGCACCAGCGCCGCCTGCCCAGTCTCTCTGTGGGGCCGGGGGTCTGCCGCGCGTGCCGGCAGCACGGGGCTGAGCGAGGCGCGGCGGGCTGGAAGCGGCACCGCAGCCCGGCCAGCCAGGGCAGCGGGACGTGTGGGCGCTTGTCCCGGGAAGGATCCCGGGAGCTGTCGCAGGGCTCCGAGGGACACGGGACGGGCGGGGCGGGCCCGGGGCTCGGCCCCACCCACGCCTGCAGGCCCCGCCCCTCCCCAGACCACGCCCCTCCATCCAGCCACACCCTTGGGCCCGCGCGGGGCCCCTGAGGTCACTTCCGGGCCGGGCCGGAAGCGGCGGGCTCGCGGTCGCGTTTAAACGGCGCAGGGCCGCGCGGCTGCTCCGCTCCCGGGGCCGCGATCTCTGAGTGCCCCCTTTAACCTCCCCCCAACCCTTCCCGGCCCCGCCATGCCCATCCGCGCCTACTGCACCATCTGCTCCGACTTTTTCGACAACGAGCGGGACGTGGCGGCCGTGCAGTGCGGGCACACCTTCCACCGGGACTGGTGAGMGCCAGGGCGGGCGGGGGCTCGGGCSGGGCCGTGGGGTGTCAGCCAGGGGCACCTTCTGTGGCCCCGCGCCAGAGCTCTGAGGACTTCACGGAGCTGCCGCAGCAGTCTGGGCTGTGCTCATTATACATTTGAATGGGCTGTCCTGGGAGGTGGTGGAGTCGCCATCCCTGGAGGTTTTTAAGGAAAGACTGGATGTGGCATTTGACGTGGTGGTAGTGATCGGTCATAGGACTCGATGATCTCAGGTCTTTTTCGATCTAATTGATTCTGTGATTCAGTCACTTTGCTGCCTGCAGGCTCCCTTGTCCGGAAGAGCCCGTGTCACAGGGTGTTTGGAGGGAGYGCTGTTGGATTATGGTGAAGCCTCCCAGGCAATTCCGTGCATTTCCAGGACTATGTTTTAAGTGTGTGTGTTGAAAGGAAATGGTTCTTCTGAGGAAATAAACTTTATGTGGGGAGGAGGTGGGCATTTGCTTTCCTGGCTAATGAGCTTGGAGAGGGATCACGGGTGTGATTGTCACTTCTCACCCAGCAGTGCTGCTCGGGCCCGGTCTCTTCCAGCAGCCAGTGAAGCAGGGAGCGCTTCCAAAGGTAACCTGCCAGCTCCCAATCATTACCGTGCTCCCAAAATAAACCTTTCCAGTGTGACGTGATGGCTTGGTTGCAAAATGCATTAGTGGCTCTCCTGGGGAGCCCGGCAGGTTTGCATTCATCTCAGGAGCAGAGCCCACCCCGGTGCCCCTCGCTCTGCAGATCCGTGTTCAGCAGCTCCCCTTGGAGCTGATGGGGCTGGAATCTCAGCTGTCACATCCTGATAGAGCAGCTCTTGTGCCGCGCCGTGTACGGATCCGCTCGCTCCTGTGAAGCTGCGGCTGTTCAAAGCCTGTCTCCCAGAGAGATCTGAGCTCTGCAAAAGCTCTGCCCTGTAATAGATAAGCTTACATGCTAAATTCAGCCAGGAATTGTCTTGGAGAGGCAGGTGGARCATGGCACTCCTGTCGGCCACACTGCTGGACTGAAGGTTTGCTTTAGTTTGATGAGGAGTCACATCCTGCTGTCTCTTGGGGAGCTGGGAGTGGCCCTGGAAGCAGCGCTCCAGGATTTTAAGGATTTACTGTATGTTTTCCTTTCCTTTCTCAGCCTCATCCAGTGGTTTGACACTGCACCCAGCCGGACATGCCCACAGTGCAGAATCCAGGTAAAGCCATCCCCTGTGGCACAGTGCTCTGCAGTGGCACCAAGGAGCTGTATCCTGGGGTGATGCCAAAAAAGAGCTCATGTTAGAAAGCAGAGGGACTTTCTGTCGCTTGGGACTCCCCAGAGGCTGAGAGGGGGAGCTCTCCTCCACAGCCCTTCTGGGTGCAGTGGGCTGAGGGTGCCCTGCCACTGTTTGCCCTGCAACTCCCTTAGAAAGGGGCCCTGGGTTTTCACAGCAACTCCCTTAGAAAGGGGCCCTGGGTTTTCACAGCTTTTACTTAGGCTGGGTAAGTATTGGCCTAATGAGAGAAGGGGCTGCAAGGACTTAATGGGGACACGTGACTTGTGTTTCTGGAGTGCCCAGCCCARTGCTGTCAGGTGAGTAGTCTGCGCATGGGCCTTACAACCCCTCCTGGCTTTGCAGAAATCAACCCTCCCTTGAGAAAAGCAATGTCTGGGGAGGGAAGAARAGATGTGCTCTGCTTCTGAGATAAGAAGCTGAGGCTTGGCTTTCCATTGGCTCAACTGGGACCTGAACTTCTTTGAAGTTCCTCGTGTCACCAGCCTTCATACCGCCAGTAGGTCTTGGCATGTAGCAGCTGCAGGAGATGTTTCCTCGCTCTCAGATATAAATTTTTAGCCAGCTTTATCTTGGGCTTATTCTGTGTTCGTGCTTCTTTCCTCCTCTCAGGGTCTTGGCCCTTGTTCCTTCCCTGACTTGTTGATTCCCTCTGTTCTTCTCTGCCTCTTACATCTCTGGGTTACCATGGAGTTATCGCGAAATAACATCTTATGTGGCAGTAACCATGCAATTAGCTGGTGTCATGACTGTATATAATACTTAAAACACAAAGCTGTAACTGCATGGGGGAGGTGTGGAGAGCTATCAAATTCAATTACAGCACCTTCTGCCTGCAGAAAGCAGCACGTACTTCTGTCTTAGGATTTGGCATCATGTTAGCTCAGCATCAGCTGCTTGGGCCTGAGCTGCCAGAGAACAGACTGCGCTCGATTCAGAAATGTCTGAAGCTTTCTGCTGCAGCTCAGGAGCTTGGCTGGAGTCACACTCCCAAAAACTGAGTGGGGGGTCTGCTGCTGTGCTGTTGAGCCAAAGCAGAGCATCACCACTAATGGTGTCAAGCACGTGATGTGATTTGCCTTTCATGGCCTTGTCACAAGACGGTACCTTCTCCCCCTCCATCTGTCTTCATATCCGTTGTTTCCCTATTTTTGCCCATCAAACTCTTCTGTCTTCTGTGTTTAGGTCAACAAAAGACACATCATCAATAAGCTGTTTTTCGATGTTGCCCCGGAGGAGCAGGCAGCACCGGATGCTGAGACCTTGCAGGTAACTTGACTGGGGGCTTCRTTCCTCATGTGATGCTTCAGCCTCCTGGAAGTGTGGCCTGGTCTGCTGTCCTCTGCCAGCAGGTGCCTCCCAAGCTGTGCTCACATTCTGACCTGAAGCACATCTATCTCTGTGGTGGTTTAGCATTCCCCTTGACCAAATCTCATGTGGTGACTCAAGGAGCCTCCTCTGCTTCCTGCTCTTTCTTCTGCGTCTCACTTTACCTGGAAACCTCCTSAAGCAGCATCACATCTAACTGCTGCTCCTCCCTTGGGAATGAAGGTACAGAGTTGTTCCYGAAGGCAGGAGAAGGGAAATCCCAAATGCAGTGATTTGCTGCTGGTATCTGTGGCTTGGTTGTATGTGACCCCTGCTAACCCTTCTGGAAAGAAGGGGCTATTGAAGGAGGTGTCCCCACCTCTCTTCTGTGCAGGGAGGTTGTTTGCACAGATTGAAGGATGTGGGGCAGGGTGGTGATAAAGTCATGATTCCCAAAGAGAGATTAGGAGAGGGACTGCCTGAAGCCGCATCAGTGAACAGGGTGGAGGCTGGGTCCTGGCAGGATGCTGGCTGGAGCTGGGATGCTGGGTGGTGTCCTCCAAGTGCCTCCTTTGGGTGCGGACAGTTRAGGGTGAGTAGGGATAAACACAGAGTGGCTGTTCCATGTTCTCCTTTGTGCACCATGGATRAAACATGGCTTCTTCTGTCTTGGAATTATCTGTTCCAAAAAAGGGTGGCCGGTTGACCTTGGTATAACGGGACGCTTGTACCCTCTTGTGTTTAGAAGCAGCATGTGCAGCAATTACCATAATTAGCAGTTGCCATGACAATTCTATATGTACCTCGTATTTCTTTAAAATAAAGCCAGCCAGACTAGAATGTCAGTAGCACATTCTTTCTCCAAGACTGCCAGTAATGAAACTGACGGCCAAAGTGTGCTGAGGAATGGAGGAGCATCTCTGGGCATTGGGAGCTGCGTGCCCTTGGAGCGGATAAACGTTGCCTTTTRTACATATTGAAATATGTCCTCATAAGTGTAATGAGATGACTGACTTGGAAATGGGTTGCCTGGAGAGAATTGCCCTAGAAAATCTTCCTGTTCCCTCTCACCCCCACCCCAGGATCCAAAATGGGTTCCCCCAGCCTTCTGCGCCAGGCAGGCTGTGCAGAACGGCTCCCTTGCCTAGGGGCGGGACTGTGGAGCTGATCCTCCACAGCCAGCTTAATGGTAACTCCTCCTATAAGTYTTGTGTATATCTGTCAAAACAGCATCTACCCCTGGTGTACAGCCTGCTTAATGAGGGCACTGAGGTGACCAACAGAAAGAACTGWGTGTTTTTCTGTGTAAATCAGCATCATTAGATTGTGTGGACACTCTGCTGTGTGTGCTGGTACAGGTTGCTGCTGCATTTGTCACCAATTTTATGTGGTGTGCTGCCTTGTTTTTGGAGGACATGGGGTGCCAGGAGAACACAGATGCCTTGTGCGCCATGGGTGAGGGACTAATGTTCATCAAGRTGGGAGATCTGTCTGTCTGTGATGGAGTATCTGATTCTGGACACGCAGAAGTTCAAAGCAGACACATGGTGGGCCAAGCCTAGACTCTTCAGAGGGTAAGAATTGCTGGCATCCTCAGCCAGAARCAATTTCAACTGAAAAAAAAGATAAAAATCCAAGGTTTGTGATGAACTACTGCCCTGCCCTCCAAGAGCAGTGTTCGTCTCTAATCAACTGCAGCTGTATCTGTGTAGCCCACAGCTGTCCTGGAATGAGCATTTGGCCTCCTGCCATGAAAAGGATGTGCTAGAAAGCAAAGTGTGTGCCTGTGGTCTGCTTGTCATCTTGGGGAGACAAGATTGGGATTTTCTTCTGAGAACCACTCTTTGGCACCCTGTGAAGTGGTCAGAAGAGCTCCCTCATGATCTGAGGAACTCCTCACTCCTGTTGCTGCAGAATTAGCCAAATTATCTTTTGAACAGTAATTTTCTTTGTTGCTGTTCCTCACTCTTGCTGCTGCTCTGAAATGTTTACAGTCAAAAGAGTGCTGGGCTCCACTCCCAGGCTAAAACTTCAACAGAAATACCAGAGGGAACCTGGGTCCCTGGAGTTGCTGCMGTAAATGTCCAAGCATTTCTTTCATTACTGAACCTTGGGTTAGCCTATATTGATTTTAAAGATGGTCCTTAGTGAGCAGAAGAGTCTCCATGTGGCTGTTCCCAGAGCAGGAACAGGGTGAGTTGTGGGGTGTAACACATCAGTGAGTCTGTCAAGAGCTGCTTGTGAACTGGGGAGCGGAGAGTTCTTCTTCCAAAGGACATTTCAGAGATTTCAGCTTGGTGAAGAGGAGGTGGGGGGAGGATTCCTGCCTGTAAACCTGCTGGGGAAGGTAGAAGCCTTGGAGGACAGCTGTCTGTTTGCGGTCAGGACAGACGCGTTTGATCTCAGGAAAATGTGGTCTTGCAACTCAGCCTGACAGAGAGAGGAGAGCTTCTCTTAGAGAAGAGAAAATTGGGAGCAGCTTTTAGGAGCTGTGGTGGAGGATGAGGGATTTCAGATTAAGTTGATGAATGAGGTAATGTTACATAGCTGCCCGCAGCAGCCCAGGATTTCTTTGCTATCATGATAATTAGCACATCTTGTGAGCTCACTAATCGTTCCTGAATAGGACTCTTAGGAAGCTTCTTCAGAATAGTTCCTGCAGCAGAGTTAATTCCACATTAGCCCTCCAGCAGTTGTGCCCCTCGGGGCAAATCCCAGTCAGCTCTGCTAGGCTTTGCATTTAGTCCCTTCTGGTTACATCCCACATTCTCTTTCCTGCCTTTATTGTCACYAGCAGAGCCTCCCTCCAGTCCCATCAGAGCCGTGGTCACTGCTGGTGCTATTCTCGGCTCGGATTTGCATGTAGCATTCCGGRTTGCACAGATTTGTGTGCCTGTGTTGGCATTTTATTGTGGTTTTATTCCACTGCAGTTCCTGCCTGACTTGTTATGTGCTTTCCTCTGCAGTCCTCGAACACAGCTTTTTAAGTCATCTTCTGTTGACTCTTTCCTGCATATATTTATCTCTCTGTTTTTTATTTTAAATATACATATAGATACAGAGATATAAATAGCCTCTCTTTTTAACCTCTCTACATTTCCTTTGGCTATTTACCAGTGTTAAGTTACATCGCTTCATTATCTCTAATTTAAACTACAGGGCATTTGCTGCCTCTTTCTAATCCTTGATGAAGGCATTAGAAATATTTGATGTTCCTCAGACCCTTGTGGTACTCGGGAGATGTTGTGCACTCTGTTTGGTGYGGTATAGATTGATTTCTCAGTGATCTGTTTCCAGCCATTCGATTGAGCTGTTAGCTCATATCAGCATCCTGAACTGCAGTGACTTCAGTTCTGTCAGCATGTTTGAGTGCATGCTTGGTTACCTTTTTAGGTGTTTGGATGTGCCCTCTCGCCTCCCACCTGCAAGTGATTAAAGTTCACTTCAGTTTAAAGAACTCTCAGTGATCCAGTTAGTCTGGCAACATCCCTGCCTTATTGCCTTGTTTAGGTAAAACATTATAAAAATTGTTCCTGCCTGACTTCCTGTGTTTCCCTGAGAGCCTTCCAAAATTATTCAGCTAAAACAGGATGACTGACAATGTGAGAAACACAAGGTTGACAAGGCTAAGACAAAGCTGCGATCCTCTCTTCTCCCCCCGAAGAATGCCAGTTGGAGGTGCTCTTTCCGTTCCCTGTGGTAGTCCGGGCTTGTAACTCTGTGCTTGCTGTTTCCTGGTTCCCTCCTTTGCATCTGCCTGGGCTAAACATCCTGCTGAGAAACCCCTTGGGTCTTTTTGAGATCTGGTAGAAACATCTCTGCAGAGTGTTTCCTAATGGGGTTCTCTGTGTTGTGTTTCAGAACGAACTGGACAAGGTGAAGGCCCAGCTCTCCTTGAAAGGTGAGTTCCCGCTGCCTGCAGGGGATCAGCAGCCCACARTCAGCAGGTCCTGAGCTCTACCTGTGCCAGGGGGCTTGCCCAGGTTTGAGGAACCCTGGTGCAGAGACCACCCTGCTCCAAAGCCGAGGGCATGGTTCAGGCTGCAAACTGTTTTTCTGGAGCGACTTCTTCAGAGCTTTTTCTGAGGCGAGAACACCTAAAGCTGTGCAAACCTTGTATGACAGAACCTGAGTCCACAGCCTGGTCCAGCTCTGCTGTAACCTAGGAGTTCGCTGCATTTTTAGACAAACAGATGCAACTTTTTTGCCTCCTTCCTAATCACAAGCTTAGGGAATTGCAGCACGGCTCTATCCAGGCTTGAAAGCAAAACCCTTGGTTTGCTCACTGGGAAACTCACAGCTGCATATGGCAAAGGCTCATTCCCTCCAGCAGATGAGAGGGTGAACGTAGTGTCCAAAAGCAGCAGTGGGAATTYGGATTTGTTTGGCTGTTGCAGTGCCACATGTGTTGCGTGAAGAGCAGACGGAGTTCAGTGTGTGCGCACTTCCATCTTCCCATCTTTAATTTTAGAGGATGTTTGAGGGAGGCAGGAAAAGCAAAAGCCCTGGAGACTTGTCGATGGGTTTTAAGCATCGTCTGTAGGCAGCCTGTCATCAGAACATGAGTCATGAGCAGCAAAAGGAAAATGTCAGTCTAAGTGACAGAAATCCTAAAACATGCTCGCAGAAGGGGAAAAAAAATGTTTAAAGAATGCTGGGGGCTCACCCACGCCCTGAGAGTTGTCTTTCCTCTGCGTTCCCTGCATGCACGAGACAGACATGAATAGCCAGTAGATTGAGGATTCGGTCCTTAGCCTGAGAGCAGAATTGGATGGTCTGCACGTCTCTATTCTGAGGCCTGTTCTCCTGCCAGCTTGGTTGAGTTTAGTGACTTGGTAGAGAGCCAGATCTTCTGGGGAAGGTGGCTGGGATTCTGCTAGGATATTATCCAAGAAAAACTGCTTGAAGGCCTGCTAATCTTCTCGGCTTCTGGTGAGTAGAGGTTGGATTTGACATTCCCTGTCCCATTCTCTTTTCATATTGGAAATGCGAAGCTCCTTCCCACCTTCTGCCTCCTTTGCTGTGGGTACTCTGCTCTCTGCTGGTTCCTGTGTATAAGTTCTCCATGTGAAGCTGTGCTCTGCTCTGCTCTGTGCGCTGCAGAGGAGCTGTGGAGCTGCCAGGCTCTGATCAGCCTGCAAATGGCTCGAGAGGTGCCGAGCTCTGAGCAGACCCAGCAGGCTCTGTGGGAGGCACTCTGAATGAGCTGAAAATTCATTCCTGCAGCACTGAGGGGTTTGATTCTTGCCATCTGCCTCTGGGCAGCTGGGAACGGAGGAGGGGGAAGCCCTAACTCTTTTGGTGGGTGTGGAGTCCCTGTAAATGCAAAGGAGCGTCTCCAGGCGCTGTCTGTGGTGAAAGGGTTATTCAGATCAATGGAGAAGCCACCCGCGTGCTTCTGCTGGAACATGTTCCTCTCTTGTACCTTGGTCCCACATGGCTCCTTTACTCCCTGACTGAACAGTGAAACTTCACTGCAGGTCATGCTTCCACAGGATGTGGAGGCAGAATTTGAAATGGATGGCTTGCGAGGAGACCAAGCATTTTAGAAAGGCACTTTGGCTCTCCACTATTGCCAGGCTCAAGCCACAAGTGATTTTAGCAAAGACTGAAGATGCTGAGCTGAAAATTWTACCCTGCCCTCAGCAGGATTAGGTGGAGGGCTTCGTGCTTTCCCTCAATTCCCAACTGCTTTGAGCTTCTCAGAGATGCTGTCTGTTCCCTGCCTCGGTCAGGCCTCTCCTGATGGTGATTGTTGCTTTCCGAGCTGTTCTTCCCTTGTTTCCACAAAACAAATTGAAATCTGGGGGKGCTTTCCCCCACCTTCTCTCTGCTGGTCAGAGGCATGTGCTTTGCTCCTGGATTCCCTGGGGGAGGAACAGCAGGACTCTAAGGTTTTGTGACCTGCAAAAGGTGGGCACTTGGGGAATCTGCTTAAGCTGTCATGTGTCCTGCAGAGTCCCCAGTGTCACTGTCCTGTCCTTTGATGTGGGTGCTGTGGTTGATGAGGTACATGGAGCCACTTGGTGGACCACTGCATACAGCTGCCCAGTGGCCCCCAAAGGGGTTCCTGAAACACAAGGTTCTATGTGGAGAGCATGGGCTCAAAGCTCTATTCTCCAGCTCTGTGACAGCTTGGTGTAACTCGAGAGGAATGATTTCCCTTTGCAAGCCTGGCTTTGAGAAAACGCAAGAGTTAAGATACATCATCTTAATGCTAGCAGGGCTGGCACTGGAAAGCTATTAAAGGGATTTTTTTATCTTTAGTAAAGAAATCTTGAAGCCTGCTGGCACTGAGAGAAGCAATTGCTCAGTACAGACCCTGGTGCAGACAGCACTTAGAGAAATGGCTCTCTCCAGGAATGGCCAAATCCTGGCAGCYTGGAGCTGAGCCTGCAAGCTGTCTGTGTGCTCCTGCCACTGTGGTGCAGCTGGAGTCTGGGTTACCAGGCCATGACCTTTTTCTTTCTTCTTTTCTTTTCCAGAGAAAGAAAAGCGGGAATGCCAGGCTGTTGTGGACGGCCTGAGGGACACTCTGGATGTGCGCAATGCCACCATAGAGTCACTCCAGAAGGTGCTGGGAGAGACAGAGATGCTGTGCTCCTCTCTCAAGGTATGCTTTCTGTGCCCAGCAGGACTAACCATCATGAAGTCGGTGTTAGTTCTGTTGAAGATCTCTGCAGATCCTACTAATAAAGAGATTGTGATGTTGGGATTTTGGGTCTGGTGCCTGGGTTTTTATTTTGGTTTGATTAATTGAAGCAAGTGCTGTTGCTGGACTTGAGGTCCGGTTTGTGCTCTGCTCGTGGTGATTCAGAGGCATAAAAGCCTACAGGCCTGTGGTTTGTGTACAGGTGCTTAAGACAGAGGTGTCCCTGGTGGAAAAAAATGCCAGCCCAGCCTGAGGAATGTGGCTGAGCCCCACTAATGAAGTGGCAGTGCTGGTCATAAAGGTAGTAGCAGGAACCTAGTGTGGGATCTAGCCTCAGTGCCCCATTGCTGAAACACTGGCTCCCTGAGGTAGAATGTTCTTCTGAAATGGGTTTAGGCCAGGCGGGATTCAAGGAAAATTAGTTTTTTACTTTGATTGGGGGAGAAATCAAACTGAAAAATATGGAGGGGGAGTTGCAGGCTTCAGYTGAGTGGGATCTGATCCAGCTAACTCTCCTGTCTCTGTTCTGTTGCCAGGGCTTTGCCTCAGTTAGGTTAGTAACGCTGTGAAGTCCAGGGATCAAATATTCCTGTTGTGTTTCAGTGTGCAGTGACTCAGTGTGTAGTCACGTACTGTGCATAAACAGCAAGAGGAAGGGGGTAAGAGCAGGAGCAGCTTTGTTGGGATGTCTTGGAGCAGCTTTGCCTTGGCACTGGGCTGGGCAATCTGTGCCGTGTGAAGGTGATGTGCCTGTCTCAAGGAGGTGGGGTGCAGACAGGTGAGGTTGTAAGCTGCAGACTGAAAGGTGGGATAGGGGTCTGTTGTGCTTCCCAGGCTCTCTGACCCAGTATCCTAAACTGCATCATGTTCTTGACCTGCAAGGCCAAGTGACCAGAGAGAGCTTGTAGATGTGTTGTGGTGCTGTCTGGCTATGTGCCACCTGCAGCTGGGCTCTTCTGGGAGGAAGCATCCGGGAGGTCTACCTGACACTAGGACAGATAGAGTCAGGAATTAATGCCAGGCAGGCCTCTCTGTGAGCCAGCACCATTATTTTTSCCCAACCATGGGATTATATCCAGTCTGCTTGCATGTAAAGGCAGCCTGGGTCTTGGCCATGCTGTAGATGCTGATGTGATCCTGGATAGATCAGTGGTGGGATACTTCTGATGCCCTCTACTCCAGCAAAAATAATTGTGACAGTGGAAGCTGATACTTGCTGCTCAACTCAGCATCTCAGTGCTTGGTTGACACCTCTGGAGGAGGCTCTGTGCTTATCTTCCCTGTTGCAAAACCCTCTCCGTATGCTTAAGTCCCTTTAATGAAAGCTGGGCAGGGCAGAAGGATTAGGGACCCTCTTTTCTGTGGTGTACAGGGTTTCCCAGCTGAATGCCAAGCACTGTCCTAAACTGCATCATTMAAGATTAAAGCACTCAACTTGTGCAGTGAAAATACAGGCTTAACTCGCTGTGACGCAGGTTAAGGCTGCGAGCCAGTCCTGTCTTCTGCTGGCACTGTCAGCTGCTGCTGAACCTCTGGGTGAGACTTTGCTGCTGTTTCAGGCTGGCTGAAGCAGGGGACTCGGCTCTGACTGGGCACAAAACACTGCTGTGGGAATCTGAAGTGCTGAGAGTTCTGGTTAGGAAAAAGCCAAAGGCAGGCTTCRGTTAAGCTAGGGTGACACATGAGCCTGCAACAGTGTACCCCCTCAACTTCCCAGTGGTTTTACAGCTATTTGCTTTCTGTGGCAGGAAGTGGATAAAATCCTTCAACTTCTGTGTGGGAAGGAGCTTTTCAATGCAATGGTCTCTTGCCAGGCCTCTTCCTGGAATCAGCACTGTGCTGAAACCAGAGCCTTTCAAAGTTGTGCAAGGTGCCCAGGCGCACACAAACCTAGACAGCTTAGATGCATCAGAATGGTGCTAATTCAGCTYTCCCTGTCCTCTGCCACACTGCAGATGTGTGCTTTTCCAGCTCAGCTGAGGCTTTTTTTTACTGCTGGAGAGGCGATGGCTGTAATGGGCTTGAAGCAGGTGAGAGAAGTGCCCAGGTGGGTGTCTGGTTTGGCTGAGGTCTCCCAGAAGAGACCCACTCATTCCTATTTATGCTTTAAGGAGCTAATGGCAAGGAGAATTGGAGGGTGAAGAAATCACCTATGCACAGAAGGGAAGACAATAGCAAGGCTTGCTTGCCGTGGACTCCTTTGCTTTTGGAAAACAAATTGTCACTTGTGCATACAGGGCATTGTGCAGCCTTCCAGTGCTYCCAGCAGAGAGGGGCTATGACATGATTTGAGCTCCAGCCTCACCTTGTGCTTAGCAMAGAGACCCTGCTGGTGGTGAGCAGAGCTGGGGGTACAGTGGGAGGGAGATCAGCTCTCCATAATCSCGGGCTGCCGAGGTGGTGATAGCATTTAGAGCAAACGGATGCTCCCTGCTGCCCGCAGYGCGCATAAGCCAGGATGTTTCTCCAACAATCCCCAGAGCTTTCCTAATGRTCTGTGTGCGCTTACTTCCCTGCAGAAGCAGATGAAATTCCTGGAGCAGCAGCAGGAGGATAACAGAAGTTCAAAGGAGGAGGCTCGCCGGCTGCGAAACAAGCTGAGAACCATGGAGCGGTGAGATCCGGGGCGCTCCCTGGGCCTTGCAAGCTGGGCTGCACACCTCTGCCCTTTTTGGGCAGGGCAGGAGGGGTCCTGCTGGGCCTGCTGCAACACCCATCTCCATGTGCTGGATCACCTTACCTATAAGGTTGGAAACAGCTGCATTAGCTGCCCTTGCCTGCTGGCACTCTTGCTCCTGCTGTTTCTAGACAGCTGCTCTCATTAAAGAACAGTAAGGCAGGGTATTGGCCTCATCTCTAGTGCACTGAGCATGGCTCTGTGCCATTGCTGTTATCAAAGGATGCTGGGGCACAATGCCAGCCCAGGAACACAGTCAGCCACAGGGCTATAGGGACCAAGARCTGGGCATCAGCTCCATGTGCAGTGTGTGTACAGCTGCCCCTTCTGTTGTCCAAGTAGTGCTGCTTTTCCCCAGTGAAATGTCCTGCTTGGGGTGAGGCAGCTGTGTCTCTTCTCCYGTGACACCCAGAGTGCCTGCAGCAGGAGCTCAGGCTGCACCACCCCCTTGAGAGGGAAGCAGGGCTTTTGTCTCTTTCCCAGGTCTGTTTGTGACTCATGAGCTGAGGGTAGGTTTTTGTTTGTGGTTTTGTTTTTTTTTTTGTGCAGGATAGAGCTGTTGCTTCAGAGCCAGCGCCCCGAAGTGGAGGAGATGATCAGAGAGATGGGAGTTGGGCAGGCAGCGGTGGAGCAGCTTGCGATCTACTGTGTCTCCCTGAAAAAGTAGGTGCTGCAGGCTTGGCACAGCTGGCTGCTGCTGTCCTGGGGGTGCCCAGGGAGAACCCTCTGCTGAGCACCAACAGGCACACGGGCCTTGCGGGGCTCTCACCGCCTCTTTGGGCTTCCACTGGGTTTTGACTGACACATCCTGGGGACCTACTTTGGAGCCTGTCACACTGAACTGTTCCTCTTGTCACTGTAGTGACATGTGTGTCACCATGGGAACTGTCTCCAGAGTTGTCAGTGCACCTATGAAGTGATGATGATTATTCCCTCCGCTTTCCTCTCACGCCCGGGGGAAAAGCGAGCGGATGAGGAGCTCTGGCTTGTGCCCTCTGCAGCACTGCACTGTGCAGCTGTGGCCTCTGGCATGCTCTGGCAAAGCAAGCCTGCACTGCTGTCCTCACCTACCTGGATATCCATCTGGTCCTGCTGGGAAAAAACACATCTTTTTTTGTGTCTGTTCTGATGGCAGCTGAATAACTGCAGCTTTGGTACAAAGCTATAATGAGGCAAGTGTCCCTGTGGTGTAATTTGGAATGAATGTGCATGGCCAGTAGTGTGAAGTCTCTGAAAAGTCACTTAAAGCAAAGTCCCCTGTTTGCTGCCAGCATGGAGGCTGTGCTCTGTTGTCTGTCTTTTTCACTGGCAATTGAAATGTCTCTGGCTCTGGTTCCCTGTTTGCTGGTGGAATCAGGCATGGTATCCCATGAAGGTTTTTTCTTCCCCATGGTGTAGTGGAATGTGTGACACAGTGTTGGTACACTCGTCTCTTTTCCTTAAAGGGCTTTGTGTCTCCTGGGTTATCTCTGGTGGCTCTGCAGTCCAGAGCTTCAATTTAAGGGTCTTGTCTTGTTTCTGAGAAGTTCTGGTTCAACTTTCTTACAAACAGCGTGACTCTTTGGGTCTCTTTGCAGGGAATAYGAGAATTTAAAGGAGGCTAGGAAGATCTCTGGTGACATGACAGAGAAGCTGAAGAAGGAGCTGTTTTCTGTCAATAATAAGGTAAAGKGAGAGTGAGTTGCCAGGGTGACATCTGATCTGTAGATCCCTGTCCATAACTGCCTCTGCAGTGACCCCCTCCCACTCTGATCAATACGGGTGTGTGGAAGGGTCCAGGTGGGGTTTCTGGGTCAGGATGTGACACAGTGAGCACACAGCTTGTGGGCTGTTGTCAGGAGGGCGGGTGTTTGGGGACAGTGCTGGGGCAGCATGTGCAGAGCCAGCCAGAGTTTGGCAGGGAGCCTGTGCTGGAAGCAGCACACAGGTGCCCCACTGCTCCCACTGGCTTCTGGAAGTAGCAATTCCTTCATCTGGCCACACCGCTGAGCACTCAGCTGCCAGCCTCTCCTGCTGCAGAACTGGCCCTTAAGGAAGATAGGAAAGGGTTTGTAGCCAGCAGCAGCTGRACAGGGCTTAGCCCTGGCTTGGCACAACCCAGCCTTGTGCCTTCAGCCAGCTGAACTGGGCCAGGGCTTCCACATYGTGCTGTGCCCAGGCAGGAGAGGTTCCAAAGCACAGAGAGGACACGCAGGTGGCCCTGCAGAGAGCCTCCCTGGGCTGGTCCCAGGCTGGTGCAGAGCTTGAGGATGTTGACATGCCTCTGCTGCTGTGCTCCCTCTGCTCCAGGCCTGGCTGGGGTCTGTTAGCTCAGGTCAGGCAGGACTCTCTTTATTCTGGTATCACATCCCTCTGACAGGCATGTGTGTGTAGCCTCACTCCCCAAGGCACAGGTGTTCCCTGGGGCATCCCTGTGTCTAAGCCGACAAAGTGAGAARCTGTGGGTGGATTTGTCCTACTTTTGTTACTCAGCCATAGCTGTTGTCCCCTCAAGTGGAGAGAGAGTTCTTCAGGTTGCTGTGCTGTGCTCCCCAGAGCAGTTAACCCTTACACRAAGTGCTGTTGCTGGAGCTGGGCTGCTCCTGGCTGAGTCAGAGCCACGCTGTGATGGCCAGCATGGGTCAGGAGGATGCGAGTCAGTGCGCAGGGGGCTCAAGGCTTGGCTGACAGAGAGCTGACTTTTACCCACAGKCCGTGGGCTGGCCCAGACTCCCGGACCCACAAAAGTCTCTGATGTGGTAGTAATCCACTTCCTGACTCCTGCTCCTGGCATGCTTCCCTGTTGAATCAAGCTTGTCCTTGTGCCAGCACAGCCATCCTCCAGCCTGTGGTTTGTAATTCCTGTGCTCCGCTRTGTCCGAGGTCCTGCAGGAATTCAGAACAGAGCCACCAAGTGTTAGACCAGGGAAAAGCTGTTGCTGTCAGGCGTAAATGSTGGGTACATGCTGGGCAAGCAGCCCTGGAGATCCCTCTGCAGGCAGCTTGTGGAATTGGGTAGGGATCGGATTGTTCTGATACAGGAGAGATTGGTCAGGCTGACACAGGAAAATTGAGCTCTTAAACGCGGGAAATGGCATGTGGTGCAGAGCCCACTGCTCTTACAGGGCTCTGCAGTTCCCTTTATCCAGGTGTTTTAACCCATACTCTGTTGTGTTCTGCAGCTGCAGAAAACTACATCAGAATTGGAGAAGACCAAGGAGGAGTTAAAAAGCACACAGAAAGATCTGAAGAATGCAGACAAAGAGATCTTGGTGAGAATATCATTCCTGATGGCCAGCTGCCAGTTACTGCAGACTGGTCTGCAGCTGCAAAGCCAGGAGTTACGCTGGCTTTTGCTCAGTGACTAAGTTTTCCCAGCCTACCTCTGAGCTCCACTGATGCTGATTTATGGAACAGAGGCAAAGTATCTACTACAAAATCTTTCCTTATCTCACTGTCTGCTTTTCCTTTTCCCTCCAGAGTTTGAAGAAGAAAATAGACATCCTGCAGGATACTCTGAAGGTCCCATCTGTAACCAGGGAAACACTCAGTCGGATAGTCTTTGAAAGGTTAGTGAGCTGCATCCAGGCCAGGGATGTAGGTAACGGTTAAACTGTCAGCTCTTGCTTTGGACCTATCTGAGAAAGCAGAGATGTGTTAGTCTGGCAGGTGTTACAGAAGTATGCCTGTTTTGTTCCTTGTATCCTTTTTCTTGTGGCTGACAAGATGATGTTTGGTTTACATGGAAAAAGTGTGTGTCTCTGAGGGTTTGGGTCAGGAGGGGGTAGAGAAATGGCCTGGAATTTGAAAAAATGTTTGTCACTGTGTCCTGCCAGGGAAATATCCCTAAAGCTGCTCTTCTCATTGCTTTAGAGTTGGCGTTCTGATGAGTGTGGTCCCGTGTATGGGGACCAGAGATCTTAGCCAGGCAGAGGAATCTAGCCTGAAAAATTACATCTGCTTTTATCCAGCTTTTCTTGAGGAGCCTGTACTGTTACCCCAGTAGAGCAAGCTGGGTGGTGYCCATAGAGCAGCAGTGTGCCAGTGTGATTTCTGGGTGCTGCTGTAATAGTGCTCAGCACCCACCATTTGAGGGGGAGCAGTAATTTGGGACATTGAATTTAAACTCTAGGGTTTAGATTGTCCTTTCTTTGATGTGTAAGCAAAACAGGGCTCTGTTCCTGGTCCCATTGCTCTCTGAGCACTCAGTATCACAGGGTGCAGCTCTGCCTTCCCCTGGGTGGCCTGCAGTGGCCCAGTGGCTGATGCTTTTCTTGGCCTTGCAGCCCTGCTCCTGTGGAACTGCAGCATCCAAAGCTCCACCGCCCGGCCGACAGYGATGAGATCGATCTAGATGCTACTTTTGATGTGGACACCCCTGAACACAGGCCCTGCACATCTCCTATTGGCACTCCAAAAAGGCAGAAGCTGGATAAAAAGCCGTGAGTTTTCCCTCCTCTTTCTGCTTCTAAAGGAGATCAAAGTCTTTCTGCTTTGGAAGTTGCTGTGTGAGATCAGATAGCTCTCCAGCTGCCTGATGGCGTGCTGCAAGCTTTGTCGTCATTTACTTGGCCTTGTCTGTCCTTGCCAGCTTCACTTGAACAATAAATCTCTGCTGATTTGCTCCTTGGGCTCCTTACAGGCCTCCCGTGGTAAATCTGGAGAAGAAAGTTCTGAAGGAAACAGTGGAGGTAAAAGGACTAATCTTGATTTTTCTGTGTCGCCTTTTTGATTCTGCTGTTAATAAGCCTGGGATAAAGAATCTATTTTCTCTATTGTGGCTGTAGACYRGCCCAKCTSTATAGATYYACAGTGTCGTTCAAAGTGCTTTCCYTGATGGTCTCCTAGAAACACTTGCTGCCTCAAGCCTCCTGGAACTGGGCAGGAGAGGGAGGGTGGGGACCCACGTGCTTTTTGCTGGTGATTTTGCCCCAGATGTGCTTTACAAACACCACCTGGAGCTGACCACAAGGGCTGTGGGTCAGCTGAGGTGGCTGTTCTTCCAGCCTTGCTGGGGGCAGTGTCCTGCCTCTTGGGCACTGTTCCATATGAGCCCCAGTGGGAGGTTGGAGCTGCCGGTTTTCAACCTGACATGTGGTATGGCAGAAACCATTATCCTAAATAGCTGTGTTATTAGAGCTGCCTGCATGTGGACTCCATTCAGCAGATTGTGCTGGTTAATGGGCTTTGCTTGTTATTTTGTGGGACAGAACTGGGCAGATGATCTGGAAGACGATGCTCTTAAAGGATTCTTGCCAGCATTCATCAGGAACTCTGTTCTTTCCAAGAAGCCATCTTTGGGCAGTTCGCTGGGTCGCCACAGGAACATGGGTGCTGTAAGTATGACTGTCCAGTTGGTGAGTGTGTCCAGGGCTGGCACTGCCACCTCTGTCCTGAAGTGACCCTGCAAGAGGAAGCRAATGAGGCTTTTACCTTGCCACATWCAGTGTGTGGAAAATAAATCTCAGAGCACAACCTGGCTACTTCCCAGTCCTGCAGAGCTCCAGGGATGACAGATGCTCATTCCCTTCCTGGCAGCAGATTAAGTGGCTCTCAGTATCCTATTTCTCCACCTCCTTGGAGCTTAGGGTGTTCTCCTTGTATTCCTCAGTCCCAGTGACAAAATCCTAAGCCTTGCTCAGYTTGTCTTAAGAAGTGCCCAAGATTCACAAACTGTATTAATACCCATGGGTCTGTCTTTTTACTGAGTGTTTCCAAGTGCCTTTGACCTCTTTCCAGAACCTGGAAAGTAATCTGCAAGATTCCCCCTTCCCCATTACCATCATGAGGAGAGTGAGCCAGGGCTCTGTGCTGCTGCTCCAGGCTCATTTGTTTCTCTCTCCTAGGTGAGGACAGGGTACGATGGCATGGGAGGCAGGACGAAGTTCATACAACCAGTATCCTTTCTTATGTGGCAGTACTGATGCTYTGGGCACCTCATTTCTCTTCTTCCTCTTTGGTCTCAGTGAAAAAAATATGGGCTTGGGATCCTTATGGAATGATCTGATTTCTCTGAACAAATYTGAGCTCAGCAAAGGCATCAAGGACCTGAACTTGCTGAGGGCACTTGTGGCTGGTTCAGAGGAGCACATCAGCTAGACATCAGTGCAACTTGCAGGGAGCGCCTGTGCCCTTGAGATCTTAGAGCAGCAGTGTAGCACAGTCTCTTCCTGGCTGTGTGCCTGCCAGCCCATGCAGCTGGAGCCCTCATTCCTGTGGGATGCTGCTGCTCTGCTGTGGTGAGAAGGGGCTGGGCTGAGCTCACCCCRTGGGTGTGGAGCTGCTCCTGCTTTGGGATTGCTGTGCCGTGGGAGGCTGCATGCTCTGGCTGCTCTGCCTTCACYTGCAGTGTCCTGGCTCAAGAGGCCTTGCAAAATGCTGTTTTATGTGCAAGGGRATAGCATAGAATYGTTAAGATTGGAAAAGAGCTCTAAGATTGGAGTCCAGCCATTARCCCAGCATAGCCRAGCCCACCACTAACCCWTGGCCCTAACTACCACATCTGCGTGTTTTCTGAACACTTCTRAGGACTTCCACCACTTCCCTGGGTAGCCTGTTGCAATGCTTGACCACCTGTTTGGTGAAGACGTRTTTCCTGRTATCCARTCCAAACCTTCACTGAAGTGGGAGATGTTCCCTGACTTGTGGTACAGGAGTGTGTGCAAGCTCTGCTGCTGTGAGAAGGTATCAAAGCCCATCCTGTTCTGCAGAGAGTTTTTTCTCTAGTGCAGATGTATGACTGGGTCTCAGGTTTATAGTTCAGGCTGGACYGCAGCAGTGTTGGATCACCTGTGTTCCCAGGACACTGATCTGTGCTTTCCTTGACGCTTTTACCACCAGACAAACCTGGCGGAAATCCGTCCGTTAGCAGTGAGGAGCAAGAAGAAGGTCTCCAGACCAGCTGCATCTTCCTCCAGCAGCAGCCAGGCCAGAATGGACACTTTCCTGCAGTGAGAGCCCCAGACTTCCTGGGAGAGGCTTGGARGAGGCTGCAGGGCAGAGCACACTTGCCTAGAGCCTGGCATGATGCAATGTGCAGCCATCGCTGCCTGGGGTACTGTTTGCAAAGCACTGATGCTGCCTTGTGGGTGAGATGAGCTGCCCTGTGGAGAATCCTGCCYTTGCAGCAAGGCAACAGGAGACCAAACCTCTGGCTAATGCCTGGACTGAGTTATCCTCCTTGTTTTGCCACTCCTTCCTCCCTTTTTCATGGAGAAATAGTAAGGTTTTCTTGCCTTCTGGCCTCCTCAGAGCCCTGCAATCGCCKCTGCTTTGGGGTCTCTGACACCAGGTGGAACTGCACTTCTGAAATGCAGCCACAAGCAGCAGGTGTGGGAAGGGTGTCTGGGATGTCAGTATGGAGAACAGCAGGGAGAAGGGACCTGGACCAGCTCCATGCCTGGTATAAGTAGTTCCAAGAAAGTTTACTAGAGGAAGAAGTGTGTAGAGCTACCTGTGTGGCTGTAGAGTGTCTGAATATTCATCATCAAACACCTTCCCTCAGCCACAGATGTRGGAGGCTGGGGAGACCCACAGGTGGGCCTGAGGGCTCTGTTGCCCTGCCCTTTTTTGGGCCATGAAGTCCACAGTGGTCTTGCAGGCTTGGCACTGGAACTTCTGTTTGGGGAGGTAAGTATTGGGGTGACCCCTGCTCCACCCAGAAGCAGAGATAGGTGTGCTGCTGTGACCTCTGTGCTCGGCAAGCGTTGATGTAAAACTGGTTTGCGGAGTTGTATTTTTAATAAGATTGCAGAGTATTTTTGTTATTTTGTAACTCTTCTGCCTTGTGATTAGAGGCTTTGGAAKGGGCTGGAGAAGTTCTGAAGAATGGATCCCTTCAGAGAAGGGGGACACTGAGGGGCTGAGCATGTCTGAGATTCTTCAGCTTGGAGCCCTGGAACAGGAGATCCACATCTGAAACAGGGCTGTCCAAGCTGCGAGGAACAGATGTGAGGCACCTAATAAASCACTCTACTGTACAAATCTGACATTTCCTATTTCCAGATGCTTCAGGCTGGATTCTGTAGTACCTGGACTGGCTAAAAATATGTTTTTAGGGAATAAAATACACTGTTGTGCACACTTGTTAACACAGCTGCCTTCTGAGCATTTTCCATCCTATTGCAGCTCAGGGTGAAGAAGGTCTTAGCTTGGATGCTGAATGTAGAGTGATGGATGTGCTCAACGCTTCAGCAACCTTTGGGGTGCCAGCCCTTGGGAGACAGGCCTCTTGTGCAGGGAAGGGCTGTGGTGTGGTGAAGCCATGGGGAAAGGGATGTCCATGTCCAGGGAAGTGAACAAGGCAAATCCCTGCAGAACAGGAGCTGTGTCTCATCTGCATTACCTGAGGCTGACTGCAGGATGAAGTGAAATGGGGGGAGAGTTTGGAGGAGCTGGAGAGGGTTCAGAGAACTGGAAAAAAAGGCTTGGGGGAAAGGGCGGGGGGACTCAAGCAGAGTAAATTTTGCAGAGGAGAAGCCTGGCAGAGGGTCTGCAAAGAGCTGGCTGCGTGCAGTCTTTGTCCCTTGGAGGTAGGTACCTAGTGTATGTGAAATGTGAGACTTGCTCTGGATCTCTGCAGTTCAGGAAGAACCTGTTGAGAAGACAGCAGTGAAGGTTTGGGTACGTGGCTGGTGGGGGACGTGGGCTTCCATGCTGGGCTGCTGGAGGGGCGGTGCTGTGTCTGTCCATAAAGGAAGAGCAGATCCTGCAGTGGTGGGGTTGAGATGGGTTTTTGGGGCTGTGTTTTCGTATGATGGCAAGTTTAAGCTGAGGTTTGAGTACCTTGGCTGAACACCACCTGCACCAGCACTGCTGCTGCTGCTGCTCCAACCTCTGCTGGGTTTAAGGTGCRTGTTTTTTAGTCTCTTGGGTTTGGGGGACTCACCACTTCAGGAAAAAATCCAATCGAAACAAGGTTTTTTTGTGTGTGTTTTGGCCCCTGCTCAGTCCTGGCCCCTTTCATCTACTCCTGCACTCTTACTTTGAATGGACTTGTTGCTTCTGGGTTGTTTCTGATGTATTTTTGTTCTGGTTTGTTGCACGTTTGKTGCCCCTTCCCAGAACTGAAGCTGTTTAGTTCTCTTATTTCAGTGCTTTCAGTTCCTCCACAGCATTCTTCGTCCTGTCTTACACCATTTGCACCCCCACCTGCTCCCCGGGGGAGAGCGGTGACCTCTAGTGCCGGCATCCCCTTCCCTGGGCTGGAGGATGCAGGGAAGGGACTGAGTTCCCTTTTTCCTGGGGCATATTTTAGCSGGTTTCTATTTCGGTGCGCTCCGAGGTGAGGCTGAACCCAGTTTCACATTTATTTTAGGATTTAGCGCGTGTGTGTTGACTCACAGCCCATAAAAAGCAGCCGCCAGCACTGGCCGGGCTGTGCTGGATCTCGGCTCCGGCGGAGCTGGCGCTGCCGGGGACACAGCTCGGTCCCCGCTGGGGTCCCCCGAGGGGGCGTCCGGGCCGCAGGAGCCGCAGGGTGGCAGCAGGGGACTGGCGATGGCAGCGCGTCCCTCCGCCCACGGCTGCGGCCACCCTTAATTACCGCCCCTCATTAACGGCAGGGGGCGCTGGGAGCCCCCGCTGCTCTCTGACGCCATGGGCAGCGTCTGACCTCATACGGACAGAGCGTGACCATTGGCCGAGCGCGGTGTGACCTCATGTCAAGAGGGGTGATGGTTGGCTGAGCCTGGAGCTTAGGGACAGCATGTGAGCCYATTGTTTTGGCCCTGTGATGGCATAGAAGAGCACTGGTGGTCACTGGGTACACTCTGGTGGTTCTTGGCTGAGGCTCCATAGCCTCATCAGAGAGCCTGTGACCTCACAGGSAGGAGTGTGCTCATTGCCTGGCTGAGAGCGACTCCATAATCTCACAAGGTTGCGGGGTGATCATTGGACAGTAGCATGTGACATCATAGGGCTGCCTGTGACCTTACAGGGTGCGGTGCAATCATTGACCGGCATAGTGTGACATCACGAGACAGGGCATGACCTCACCAGGGTGTRAGATGCCCAGTGGCTGGCAGAGCGTGATGTGCTGGGACAGGGCCTGGCATCATGGAGGAGGCAGGTGCTCGCTGATTGTCAGGCTGTGACGTCCAGGARCAGCACATGACTTCATGGAGGAGGGGACACCTCATTGGTGGGTGGTGTGTGACATCCTGCAGCAGCCCGTGACCTCATGGGTGCGTGGGCGCTCATTGGCTGTCGGGTGTAACCTCATGCGGGACTGCGCGCCCATTGGCCGCCGGGACGTGACGTCACAGCAGACGGGTCGCTCATTGACGGCCAGCGCGGGAGCTCGCGTGGCGCCGCCTAGCGGGCGCGAGTGCTGGCGCTGCGCGGCGCCGATTGGCCGGCGGGCGGGG